ACTATGATCAGTAAAATTGATATTCAACTTAAAGAATACTGAAAGATCTATTAATATTAGATAATTATTATCGAATTCAAGATATCAGCCATATATTTGTTTGGACATTTTTCTATGGATCAGGTAAACAAATCATATTGTATGCATGTAAGATAAGCTAAGTAATGAACAAAATGTCACTTTGGCTATGACTCAACGTGTGTAGTAGCTGCGTGGATATATGTACATATGTTATGCACAGAGACTAAATATTTTCTGAGAAAATTCTTATTACATATACTTACCCAAATCATTATGTTCGGATATAAGTGCATTATATTCGCCACCCTCAATGTGCACCGGAGTTAATTGCTCTTTGTTGTATAGTGCGAAGGCATGGCTAGCCCCTTCTTTTAGCAACGCATCATTGTTGAGCAATTGACGTACGTCGGTGAAAACTTCGTTGAATTCACCAGGTGGCGCATGCATAATAAAGTCGGAAACAATTCGCACTTTCTCGGCGTCGCTAATTTGTGTTTGTTCCATTTGGTCAGGTAGAATTTTTCAGATTACAGATTAACTTTCCTTCGAGGTTTCTTGTTAAGATATTCACTTCTGTTAGGATTTAAGCTTTAAACACACCAACACGCCCAAATAAATAATCTGAATTATTTGAAAAGTGGTCTTGGTCAACTAACCACTGAAAAGCTATTCCGTCTAAAAAGTAAAAATCAAATTTGGAAAATTCTTGATTATTTCTCAAAAATTCACCAAGTTACTAGCCGTAGAAAAATGCATAAATATCCACCAACAACTGAGTAATAGATTTGACATTTATAAATCAATGTGTCAGATGAGAACGTCAACGCGGAGAACGTATATGAAAGAGAACGTTTATCATATTGAAAATTGCATAATTTAATTATAAATAATTTTTCCATGCATTCACAAAAATTCGCAAAATCAGATTTATATCAATTGACATAATTGCATGTAAACGTATAAATATATAAGCTAAAGGACCAGCATACATCTGTAATAACGATACATATTTCACTCACTGTTAAAATTTCTCCTTCCGAGCTGATAGTGGTGAAATCCACCAATAGAATATTCTTGACAGTTCACACGTCTATCCTCAATTGAACATTACCTGCCTTTTTGCAGTATATTGATTTTCGAGACTCGAATTCTCTGCATCAACAAGAGAATGTTCTCAATTGAAGATTCTCTGCCTTTTTGCAGTATATTGATTTTCGAGACTCGAATTCTCTACATCAACAAGAGAATGTAGAACAATTAATAATTCCACATTCTCTGCAACAAAAAATAAATAAATAAAATAGCTATCATAAAACGCAAAAGCAGTTTGGGTTACTGTTGTATGGTCGCATACAAGATTAATGTAAAGAAATAAAAATAGGTATTATTCTTTAAGTAATATATCTTAATGCAATATAAAAAATCATATTTAATAAGGAAATAAATTTTATTTAATACTTCTGTGATCATAATAAATGTTGTGCATTTTTGTAAGAAGTTGTAAATCTACATTTTCTCATAGGTTTCTGTGTAGGAGCACGTTTTGCAGGTGTGTGTATAATTATCGTCATGCTCATTGTACGTATCGGGTCCAAAATCATGTTCATGAGTCGATTTCGTCTTCTTTGTAAATAAACTGCTTCGAATTTCCATACGCAACTGTTTCATTTGTTTATTATATTTTTTCACTTTAGTTACTTCACGTTTTTCTTCACGAAGTTCATGTTGGTGGCTCAGTTCTTCCTCAGTACCCCAAACATCCATTGCACGCTTTTCAACTTGCATTAAAAGATAAAGTTTCATTTCTCCCCACCGAACATTGTGCGGGTTTTTTCGGCTTATATATCGTAATGGAGGTTCACGTTTGTCAAAATCACAGTCCTTTAACAAATATTCAGCCTTAGCTTCGGTGCGGGTAATCAATGAGTGACGCCCATCAGGGTCGCGACATTTGTCGCAGATAGCTTCGCCAAAATTGCTAAACAAATAAGATTCTACAAAAGCATCTCCACATTCCAGACATTCCTCGTAGTTGACTGGTATGTTAATTGCATCATTGGAAACCTTAACGATGTCTGTACCAGAACCTCCAGAACCATTTTCTATGGCTTCCGAAGTTACCGCTGATTTAATAACGGGTTGTTCTAACAAAAAGCCACCTCCGCTATCAATATATTTAGTGCCTTGTACTTTTATTATTGAATCTTGGTCGGTGTTTGAAGTTCCATTCCTATAGCATAGTTTTATAATAGTGCATTTGTAGGTATATTTACACTAATCTTATTCAATGAACTTACTTGTTTTGGTAAGGATATGCAACTAGTTTGGCCTGCCTGAGATGTAAAGCTTTTATGCGGTTACGTTCCATTCGTGCTTTTTCAGCTTCAGTAAAAACACGTCCTTCGGTTTGCGACATTTTACCCATCAGTACCAATAAGATTTATAATAACAATGGTGAAGCAGAGAATACAAATGTTTGATGTTCTCTGGGTGAAGTTGTTTATCGCTGCTTAGGAATGGGAAGTGTTTTAAGTTCAGTTACGACCCACATAAGATAGCTGCTAGTAAATTTATTCCCACTATTACATCAGAAGATTACAAAATCATTTGAATATTCTACAGAGGGTTTCAAATTTTATATATGTACATTTAAATAAAATTTCTTGTTGTTATTTCTACACTAACTTTAAACTATTTTCCGATATGATATTGCCTTCAATCAAAGCATTATATATACATATATACATATTTCTATCGTCAGTTCACGGTGAAATTTTTATTGTGGATTGCAGCATAAAGATGTAAATAATAAACATATCGTAAAACTATTTAATAGTTGAAGAAATAGTGGACTATTAATGTAAGCTAGAAATGTTAGATAGTTGAGTAATTCACATAAAGAAATATTTCGTTTTAATAGAGAGTACAACTTTGAGCAATCCCTGAATGAATTGGAATATAGCTGGCATCACTGGTTATGTGAATGCATTTATTTTGTTGGTGGAAGCTCATTTGTTGCTGAACGAGCGTCGAAATTGGTTGAGGTAAATTTGTGTCGCTTCTGTGGCGTGCTTGGTGTTTGTGTGACTGATTTGTGGAAGGAGTGAAGTTAATTTGAATTAAACAAAAGAAACGGTTAAAGTGCGAAATTATCCATATGGGTTCGTAATTTTGAATATTGAAATGTAGTCTGAAAAGTTCGTTTAGGCTTTTCAAAACCGGTATTCGAGTAAGACTACAAATTTGAAACATATAATGGAGTTTAGGTGAATGTGAAAATTTCGACTTCATTGGTAAAAACTTTCTGTTAAGTTGGATTCGTGAACAACTACAGTTACAGAAGTAAGAGTAACCGTTCATACACGATGTGTATTCTATTGTTTAAGTGAAACGTTGGTTGAATGTGGGAAGCGCAGCGCATATCGCATCGTAGTGTGAGTGTCAACAGTGTTCGTATTAACCACTATTTTTACCTGGAATTACCTGTTTCAAGTAAATGTATGTAATAGAGGCATGCTGGAAGTTATAGAACAAAGCGAACATGAAAAACGAGTTTACCAAAAAAACAAAAAGCATCAGCGGAGAGAGACCACTTGAAAATATCTAAGTTTTGTGTATTTACAAATAGCAAAAATGGTATTAAACATAAATAAAATACATCAGTGAATTAAATATAAAAAAAATACATGTATTTTCGTGTGCCTTATTAAACCGCTTTTCATATTTATTGAAAGCGCAGTTTTCATAAGATCACAACAGTGTTATGTGCGACGACATCAGGATTAGTGAGAATATGTACATAAATACAATAGTTTGAATTTGAATATATCCGCGATTATGAAACGTACAAACGATACCTGTTTCAAATTAATGTTCAAATATATTAAGCAATACTAAGTTCGATGAAATATTTGTCGAAGAGAATTTAATTGGTGCTTGAGTAAATAACAAAGGCGCCGTGATCGTACACAGATAAGAAAGGTGAATGAATATTTAATACTGGGTGACTCACACGCCCTGGATAGATTACCTTAAAATTGTGTGCCTTAACGAAAAAAGTATTTAGCAATAACCAATGACAACCAAATTTTATTAAAAAGTTTGAAGAAATAGTTATTTTAAATATCTATAACATAATTTTAATTTTTTTTGGGTGCATAAAGTGTAATGCTACGAAATGTCTCCACAACTACACTTAGAAACACAAGTTTACCAACTACATCATCGGCAATATCACCAGCGAGCAAAAAAGCATTTATGTCGAAAACTGCACAAGTATCACACATTACTTTTTGTGTTAGCTTTAGTAAATCTACATTCAGCCACTTCAGTTTGTGGCTATTCCAGCGCGTCAAACTCTCTCTCAAGTCACAGAGATGACCCATTTTTCGTGTTTTACATTCCATCCAATTTGCAAAAAGATGAACAAAGTTCAAATCAGTTTTCCTCACAGATGATTGGAGGAAATTCTTTTATCAGACAAAGGCGTTCACCCAACCCTTCCCCTGATTCCGTTAGCTCACTGTATTCGGCTTTACCTGTAGCGCGTACAGGGAATTCTGCCATATATTTTGGTATGTCTTCGTCGTCCACGATGACACACGAAAGCAGTGTTAAGCATTATTCGGATAATCGTAAACCAGCTTTTAAAAATTGTGCTAATTACAAACCGTCCGTCAGGGAAGAGGAACCTGAAAATACTTTTGTTATAATGGTGCAAGCAGAAGATCCTGACTTTGATCAAGAAATCAAATATAGTCTTGTTCAGTCGGCTACAGAGCGATCAAAGTTTCACATTGACCCCAAATCGGGGGTAATTGTAACAACACACCGATTTGATCGCGATGAGCCGACATACGAAAAAATGGTGTATGTAACAGTGCAGGCGACTGACAATGGCAATCCCACATTAGATGATGTTTGCACATTTAAAGTGATTATTGAAGATGTAAATGACAATGCTCCAGTTTTTAATAAGGCGCGTTACGACGAGTCTATTTCGGAAGATAAACAGGTGAGTTCTCTTAAATACATATACCTACATATACATATATGTGTTTTCATATCCAGGGTGGCTGATGAATTTTGCTACATTAGGAAACTCTAATAATTTTTTTTCCAGTGCCTGGAACTAATTTTTCTTTTATTCAGATTACAGCTCATTCAATTTTATTAAATATAGCTTAATTAGTTTTAAAAATAATGGAATTTAAATTCCCCCCCTGCTCGTTGATGCATGTGCGGCATCTTACCAAAAAGATGTTCATTGCTGCTTGGAGAGTTGAGACAGGAATAGCCGCAATTGTTTCTCGAATGGATTGCCTTAGTTCATTCAAATTTGTTGGTTTTCCTTTGTAGACTTCCTTTTTGCAATAACCCCACAAGAAAAACTCAGGTGCAGTAAGCGACCTGGGCGACCTGGTTGGCCAACGGAATGTGGAGTTTCTGGATATTAGCTTATTGGGAAATTTTCGTCGCAATTCTGTCATAACAGGTTGGGGTATGTGAGGAGCTGCACCATCTTGCTGAAACCACACAGAGTTGAAAGAAATTCTCATTCGGCGTAATTCTGGATAGAAAAACTCTATCAACATGCTCAAGTAACGGTCTCCAGTAACCGTAACGGTGTGACCGTTTTCTTCGAAGAAGTAGGGCCCGACAATGCAGCGTGATGGAACTGCACACCACATTATGACACGAAGTGGATGCAATTCCGACTCATGGAGTATCTGTGGGTTGGAAGCACTCCATATTCGACAATTTTGTTTTTTTATGTTACAGTTCAAATAGAAATGGGCCTCGTCAGACATGAAAATACAGTTCAACATGTTCCCATCCTCTTCCACCATTTGAAGCATCTTCTGGCAAAATTCCAGGCGAGTCGGCAAGTCTGCAGCGTTCAGTTTGTTGGATATTTGAATTATATATGGGAATAAGTCCAAATCTTTGTGCATAATTGACTGTAATGACTATCTGCTTACACCCATTTGAGCATTTGAACTGAAGGGTTTCGATGGTAAGGTCTTCTGTTGAGTGTCCCATGCTCGGCATAATTGTTTACAAGTCTCATTATGGTCCATCTGCTCGGAGGATTGCCGCCAGGCGTGCGCCTATACTCTCTTTGAATCGAAACTACGGACTCCAGTGCGTGATAGTGGCGGACAATCCAAATTCTTGTATCAGTGTCCCAGTTATCCATTTTTGTTAAATGTAAAAGTCAATCTGCAAAATAAAGAAAAATTAACCAGATTCATTAAATAGAAAAAAGTTATTTAATTTTTTTTTTTGGTAGCGGCTTTCATCACCCACCCTGTATGTATGTATAACCAATTTAGTGTTGAGAAAACATAGTTGCTTGCTCTTACGAAGGTATTAGGCGTTAAATATGCGGACCCTGGATTACTGCTATTTAACTTGATAATACGGTCGTGTGTAACAAAAGTTTAATTGTGACTTAATGTTTTGCTCAATTCTGAATGCCGTAAAAAAAAAAATCATACATCAGCACATCACCAAATACCCTTTCTACATTTTATTTATATTAAATTGATTCCAAATAGTTTTCAGTCGTAATATAAAGTTTTCTTAAAATGACTTCAAAGGTCCAAAATGTAGGTTGTTTTTGATAATTTTCTTTCACAATTCCGATTTCTTCGGCGCCCCGATCTGAAGGTACCGTTGGAAAGAGGAAGTCCTTCTGATTAATAGGTTATAGGTACCGCAAACGCTTAGTTTAAGAAATATTCGACCTTAAAGTTCAAAACATCGCAAAATTCGAACATTTCAAGAAGCTATTGCACCACATTTAACACACTTTAATCACATTTTTCTCTTCTAATTAGTTAGTTAGTAATTAGTTAAAGTATAAACTTGTAAATAAATCCATATTTTACACTTTTAGCAGGTTTTTTACCAAAAAAATCTTTATTTTAAAAATTACATTTTACACTCGTTTGAACCTCATTTGTTTACCAAAAATTAGGACGAAATGGAGCGCTGTTTTGTGATGATCAGGCAATTCGCTGAAATTCCTCTTTTTCGCAAAATTTCCTCTATTCATGCATATGGACATTTTCTTTTTTAATTTTATTAAGCAAATAAGTCATATTATATACATGTATTAGTAATATTATATAATAATATTACGTAATAAAGTGTAAAATATATTAGTACAGAAAATTAAAATTTTCGTTCAATATGAGTGCATGGTAACCAACAAATATAACCACTTTATAACAAAAACTCAATATAAATATTTTTTTATTTTTAACGCAGAAAGGAATACTACGCGAAAGTACTTCAGGCTCCCGGGTATTCGCTCGGCCAGGGTTATTTTTTTTAAAGCGCGGCCGTAGGAACCCAACGCAGAAAGGAGTACTACACGAAAGTACTTCTGTCCCCCCGGGTATTCGCTCGGCCAGGGTTATTTTTTTTAAAGCGCGGCCGAAGGCCGCCAACACAGAAAGGAGTACTACGCGAAAGTACCTCAGTCACCCCGGGTATTCGCTCATCGCGATATGATATAAATTTTATAATATTATCATAGAGTTTTAGTTATTTGTGTTTATTAAATATAAATCACATATTATACATATACATATGTAGATGGAAAAAGTGTTCACAACTCAACTTAAAAAATGTTGGAAAGTAGTTTTTATTGTAATTAATATAGAAAAAAGAATCACGCAAAAAAACAAACAAAGAAAAATCGTTAAGGTATTTGGTGTTTAAGATGAGGCAACGCTCGTTTTCCTCCTAATTGTAAACAATCTAACCTTTGTAGTGACGAGTGAGATAAGAGATTTTTAAATTAATAAATTTTTGGTAAAATATTACAAAATAAAATTGAAATTTGAACTTATTTCAATGTTTAGAGTGTATATTTAAATATACAGAATGAAAAACGCGAATAAATTTAGTGAAAGATAGAGAAATCCCATGTGTTATTATGTAAATTTTTGAACTTTTAATTGTGAAAATTTAAAAAAATATAAGTTATTTTTACATAATTTTTCAATATTCCTCCTCTGGAGAAGCTCCCCTATCCGCACATATCCCATTTATATGGAAATTCGTTTTTTTACCCCTCCGCCAAAGTCAGGGGCGTTGCACACCATTTGGTGTGAGATTACATGAAAGAAGTTATTTCATTAAAATTTTGCACAATTAATGTCCGCTAGATATGTAGACACAAAATAACCGAATAACGGTAACGGTGTCATCAACTTCATTTCGAAAAAAGTACGGAGCAATGATTCCACCAGACTAAAAACCACACCAAACTGTCAATTTAGGTGTATGTAATGGTTGTTATGAATAATTTGTGGATTTTTTTCGCAAAGTTATGTTAATTTACCGCACCACTGAAATGAAAGTGAGCCTCATCGGAAAAAATTATTTTCTTAATAAATCTTTATCGTGTTCAGGTGGCTCCAAGGAAAAATTAGCAAATTCGCGACGTTTACGGTGACCTGATGCAAGCCCAAATCATTTCAGAAAATCTGCCATGTTGTGGTTTGAGACAGTCCCAATTCTTGATAACATCTTAGAATCGACAAATTACAGTCTTCAGCAACACTTGCCTGAACTACTATTTTTATTTTTTGGACACTGGAACATTATATAAAGAAAATCTTCGCTCGAAGTCTTTAACAATTCGACGAATAGGGAGAACCGGTAGACGATTATTATGACCATAAAATGGCAAAAACGTACGAAAATTTTAATATGAGAACAATTATTTTGATAATAAAATTTAATAGTTTTTAAACATTGTTCTTGTGTATATCTTTCCATGATAAAATGGTTAACATTATTGATTGCAACGAAAAAATCCATACCATCCCGATTGGAAACCCCGATATAATATACGCCAAATATGTGGATCCCGTTATAACGACTGTCGGGTCTAAATAACCGAATGGAGCCACGTTTTTAAACGGCCAAGGACTGTCAACTCGAACAGTCTTGAAATTCGGGAAGAGTATTTTTGGGTTGACAGCATGCCCTTGTGCCAAAAAATGAGTCAATACTTCCCTTTGTCCACATATACCTAATATAAAGATTTCCCAACTTCCGGTTGACTCTATACCGCACCTATCGGACCATATATAAGAAATCTTATAGAAATTAAAATGGATGAAATGAGAGCAAACCTTTCCATAGTTTAATATAGATATTCGGTTACATCCCTTACTTACATGTTTTGAATTGCTTTTTAATTAAAACACATACAACTTTTAGTATTTCTTTTCTTTAAAATTGGTATAAAAAAATTGTTATTTTCAATGCTTTAAATAATGCTTTTCTTTTACATCTTTGTTACATTTTATATATATTGTTAATGTATATATATATTTTTTTTTAATATTTCTTAATAATTTTCTATTACTAATTTCGTGAAATTCGTGATAAGTTTTAAAAAACATGGCCTTGTCTCTTGATTTAAGACATCATTATGCTGTAGCAAACATCTGTTATTAAAATATTATTATTTTACATCAATCTACAATTTATTATTGCAATCATTTATTATTGTATCGTTAAATTCTGACTAATATCTGTCTTTTATTATTTTCGTTTTTTTAATACTACTGCACTGAAAAGTCACTGCCTAAAATGTTGGCAAAACTTTAATATACATATGTCCCGTTAAATGTTCTTAATAAGACATATTTCATTGAAATGCATTTAAAGTTGATCTTTTTTTTTTTTAATATAGGGGTTGCATTAGTTTTTTTCCAATACTGTATATACACAGGTACATAAATAGGCATAATACACAGTAACATTTGCTTTGAGCTTACTTAGACATGTAGGCTGCTTTTCTACCAGGTATTTTGTATTCTTGTAAGCATTCCAGTTCCAAAGTTCAATGCACCAGCCAACACCTTGAGCAATGAGTGCTAAATTCTTTTAGTACATGGAAACCTTCTGCATCTCAGTTTCATTGCGCAATGTCGCAGAAAAATATGTGCTGAGTCTTGTCATTGTAATTTTTACTCTAATTATTTGTGTTAATGAAGCTTGAAGGCATCTTGAACTTGAAGTGCATAATCACAAAAGAAATTAGCTGAGATGTGTGTCTATTATTTAATTTGGGCGCATCTAAAGGAAAGTATTAAATAAATTACACAATTTTGTATGCCAAAATTCATTAAAAATTTATTTAACAGTGCCAATAATTAACCTTTTAACTTATATTTAACGTTTCCTTTGTGAGTGTTTCACGTATTGTTTGGCTATCCAATGCAGTTGGTGGTCATTTCCACACTTAAGTCGATACCAAATTGTAAAAGTTAGAATAGAAGCAAACTTTTATTCATATGTATATGTACATATATACAATATATGTTATAGACTGACTAGTTGAGAAAATCTATTATTTTTATGATCATAAAATTATACATTTGGATATCCTTACTTGAATTTTGGTTTTCTGTTTTGTTCTCTTTGCAGCCTGATGCAATTGTAATGCGCATCTCAGCCAGTGATTTGGATGATGGCAATAACAGTATTATCGAATATGAAATCCTACCTGTTCGTGATCATTTGTACTTTAAAATCGATAAAGCAGCCGGAATTATTTATCTAAACCGTCCAATTGATAAGCGTCCTGGACAATATTATACAATTACTGTTAGTGCGTATAATCCAAGTAGTCCAATAAGTCCAGATTCCAAACAAGAATCACAAATTGAAGTTCGTATTCGTGTTGTTGAATCGTCGAAGAAGCCACCATCGTTTGTTGATCCCATCGAAGATCCTATATATTTGAAAGAGGACTATATGAACTATTCCACGCCCATCGCAACTTTGCGAGCCGTTTCTAATGTACCCGATAAACCAGAAGTTATATTTGAATTAGTTACCGGTCGTACAGAGCAAACGAATAGTAAAAAGACATTTGTGTTCAATCAAACTGGTACTACCGTTACGATTGGTTTAGGCAAACTGCTCGATTATGAATCGGTAACGGAATACACACTAACGATGATTGCGCGCAATACATACGATTTAGTTGCAGAGCATGTTATTAAAGTTAAGGTTGTCGATGTAAATGATAACATACCATATTTTACGGAAGTAAACAAAGGTACATTGCTTGAGAATGAACTACCCGGGACACCTGTAATGCAGGTACGTGCTTTCGATATGGATGGTACAGAAGCAAATAATATTGTGTCTTTTGAGTTGGCGGATAACCGAGAGTATTTCAAAATTGATCCCCATACTGGTAATATAACGGCGCTGACCACATTCGATCGTGAGGAGCGTGATTTTTACAATGTTAAAGTTATCGCAAGTGATAATTCACCTTCTAGTTTGTATAACAACGGTGAACCAAATCGAGGGCAACAGGTTTTTCGCATTGAAATAGCGGACAAAAACGATCATAAGCCACATTTTCAGTTAGCCGAATATGTGCATGACAGTTTACCCGAAGATGCCAACATAAATTTTATGGTGATCGAGGTAGAAGCTGTTGACGAAGATAATACAGCACAAATTGTATACACAATCGAAAGTGGAAATGTTGGAAATGCTTTCAAAATTGAAAAAAAGACAGGCCAAATAACAGTGAATCAGCGACTTGATTACGAAAATATCACCGAATATGTGCTAAAAATTCGTGCGTTTGATGGGATATATGATGACTATGCCACTGTAAAAATAAAAATAGCAAACGTCAACGATAATCCTCCAGATTTTAAGGAGAAATATTCGAAAACCATACAAGAAGAAATGGTTTTTGACTATTGTATATTGAATATTGAAGCCTATGATCCGGATATAAAGGATCGTACAGCAGATCAACATATCAAATATTCAGTGGTTAAGGAGGAACAGAAAAAGATGATAACCATAGATAATGATGGATGCTTAAAACTAATACAACCGTTAGACCGTGACCCTCCTGATGGCCATAAGAGTTGGCAGGTGTTAATCGCGGCAGTGGATGAAGATGGTCAGGGCTTAAAATCTGTTACACATTTGATCATCAATCTGCAGGATATTAACGATAATGCGCCCTTTTTGGTGAATACAATGCCTGTAATTTGGCAAGAGAATCGTAATCCTGGGCAAGTTGTGCAATTACAGGCAAATGATTATGACGAACCACAGAATGGACCGCCATATACGTTCGGCATCGATAGTGAGGCATCCGCAGATATTAAGACCAAGTTTAGCATCGATAACGATTACCTATTCGCAAATGTACAATTCGATCGGGAAGAACAAAAAGAGTATTATATACCTATAAGAATAAGCGATTCCGGAAAACCAAAACAAAGCAAAGTAAGCATTTTGCATTTGATTATAGGTGACGACAATGACAATGCTATGTCAGAGGGTTCTTCGCGTATTTTCATTTACAACTATAAAGGTGAGGCGCCTGACACCGATGTGGGTCGTGTTTTTGTTGACGACCCTGATGATTGGGATCTTGATGACAAAGAGTTTCGTTGGAAAAATGGCTTTCCCCATGATAATTTTCGTTTAAATCCAAACACTGGCATGATAACAATGCTCGAGCGAACACAAGAGGGTGAATATCTGCTTGAGTTTGTTGTTACTGAGGAATCTACCTTTATACCACGTCATTCGGTAGATGCTGATGTTACTGTTATTGTACGTGAACTGCCTGAAGAAGCTGTAGACAAAAGTGGCAGTATTCGTTTTTACAACATTACCAAGGAGAGTTTTATCAGTGTGCCACGCGACGCTCAAGCCGACGATTCACTTTCAATAAAAGATCGCCTACAATATTCACTTGCAAAACTATTCAATACTTCCGTTACAAATGTAGATGTCTTCACGGTATTGCAAAATACCAATAACACATTGGATGTTCGTTATTCAGCACATGGTTCACCGTATTATGCACCAGAAAAATTGAATGGCATTGTGGCGCAGAACCAACAAAAACTCGAGAACGAGTTGGGCTTGCAAATGTTAATGGTTAATATTGACGAATGTCTTATTGAAAAGTACAAATGCGAATCATCGTGCATGAACACGCTGCATAAATCGAATATTCCTTATATGATATATTCAAATACTTCGTCGTTTGTTGGCGTGACTGCCTTTATTGAATGGCACTGCGTTTGTGAGGCAAGAATAAGCACTTACTGTCTCAATGGTGGAACTCCGCGCATTGGAGAGAATGACATGTGCGATTGCATAGACGGTTTTACCGGACCTCACTGTGAATTAGTATCGGTTGGGTTCTATGGTAATGGCTATGCATTTTACGAGCCCATATCGCCGTGCGAAAACACTAAAATCAGCCTCGAGGTAGCGCCGCAAACTGATCAGGGTCTAATTATGTATCTTGGGCCGCTAAATTATAATCCTTTGTTGCCACTATCTGACTTCTTGTCACTAGAGTTGATAAAGGGTTATCCCACACTTACTGTAGACTATGGTTCAGGTGCCATTCGTATTGAGCATCGGCACATTCAGTTACAGGTTGGTAAATCTTATCAGTTGGACATTATATTACAACGAACCAGTATTGAAATGATAGTCGACAATTGCCGGCTATCAACTTGTATCAGTTTGGGAGCGCCGCAAGGTCCCAATGAGTTTTTAAATGTTAATTCGCCATTGCAACTTGGTGGCACACCAGTGGATCTCTTGCAGCTAGGTGCAAAACTGAACTGGACATATACGCCGAGCCGTCAAGGTTTCTTCGGTTGCATACGTAACTTGACGATCAATAATCATACATACAATTTGGGAGCGCCTGCAATATCACGTAGTATCGATTCCGGTTGTCAGCGCGCAGTTGCTGTGGCCGTTAGTTTCGGCATTGATCGCAACTTTATCATTGCTATTGTGGCATGCATACTTCTTCTGCTGATTATTTTATTGGCTGTGGTAGTACAGAAGAAGCAAAAGAATGGTTGGCATGAAAAGGATATTGACGATATAAGAGAAACAATAATCAATTACGAAGATGAGGGCGGTGGTGAGCGAGATACTGACTATGATCTTAACGTGTTGCGCTCGCAACCTTTCTACGAAGAGAAGCTGTACAAAGATCCGCATACCTTACAATCACTGAAAGATCCAAATAATGAAATACCCGATATTGGCGGCTTTTTGGGGGATAAAAAAGAGAATTGTGACCGGGAAGCCGGCACGTATCCGGTGGATGATGTGCGGAACTACGCGTACGAAGGTGATGGTAACTCGGATGGCAGTCTTTCTAGTCTAGCCTCCTGCACTGATGATGGCGATCTCAATTTTGATTATTTATCGAATTTCGGGCCGCGATTCCGTAAATTGGCCGATATGTATGGCGAAGAACCATCCGACACAGATTCAAATGTAGATGATGAACAAGGTTGGCGTATATAAAGCTGGATTATAGACTTCCATTGACATTTCATACCGAATGTAAAAGACTTTAAAATTAAGACCATAGCTAATGGTATAGTAAATGTATTGTATGGATTTAAATCCATAAATGTGTACAATTTTACACAAATCATACACAAATACATACGCAAATGTAAATTGGCGCTTGTCTTAATATACATAAATTTTTAAATTATTTTTTCATCAGTAATTCAATATGAAATAGTAATGTACATAATTATAAGTAAAAACATATTGTAGAAAAAAGTGTTTGCACATACATTCACAAAATAACTGAACAAATATTTATATTAAATAGTTTTTTTTTTAGAAACACATTGACAATCTCAAATATAGCGAGTGTAGTATCTAGGAAGGAGTGCGATATCCATAATAAATACACATCGTATAAAATGAAACAAATATTGTGTTATTTGAAAGGAATAAACACAAGTAAAGCATTTAGATATCAGTATAATTTTTGTAACTTATTTCTGGTTCCATTTATTTTATATCGTACGAAGAAGTCTTCAATTATATACTAAAATAATTCAAATTTTAAAGGAATGGCTGCAAACTGAAACCGAAATCGTACCACATATCTTTTCTAGATATGTAGTTAAACACTAAAATACATTAAGGGTCATAAGTTCCAAAGGGAAACCTCCCTATCCATTTGAAGTCCTTTCACATACAAGTACGTAACTATAGCTCGATATAGCGCTGATGGATATGTACATAAATATACATTTGAGATGCGAAAAAATAATTCTGATATGAATTAGATTAAACACTGCATATACATATACATACCTTAATATAGGTGACGACGGTTTTTTAGTGTACTTTTGAACTTTGTAGTCCCATTTACATATCTAAAAATGTAAATGAAACATAATATTTTTTCCAAATATTCTAGGGTAGAAATAAAAAATGTAGTTACAATAACTAATATAAAACGATATACAAATGTAAGTCCATATACGGACATTTGTTTCTAGACAGCTAAGTGTAATTAGAGGTATGCATTTATGTGTGTTTTAAATGTTCATACATACCTTCAAATACATTCAACACGAACATAAATTATTTTTGTAAGGCATTGATTTTTACTGGCCAGAATTTATTAAAGAAATAGAGAGTATATGGTTAAAGTGTGATTATTGATGAGTTTGAGAATCAAAATAAAATATTAAAACAATATTACAATGTATTTTATTTTAAATAAAACTTTCCATAAATTACACAGGCCAGTTTTTGAAAAATAATAGTTCATAAACCTATTCAAATCTGTTGAGTATTCATCATTACGACGAAGAACGACTAAATTAACATATGTATAATATAAACATTCTCTTATAGTAATTTTTAAATTAATTATTTTCAATTTCTTAGCACAATACGAATACAGATCACGGATGCATCAGATAAAAAAATATTAAATGTATATTCATTCTATGAAACTCATAATCATGACAAAACACAAATAGGTGTCATAACATTTATGACCATTAAGTGTTACTACTTTCTGCATTATCTAATTTATAATTATGAATTTAAAACGGATTGTCACGCAAAACGATGGATTTAATGTGAGTAATATTAAATTTGTTAAATAGATTACTCCTAAAAAATATTACGACTTTAAATTGTTTCATTGTTTTTTAAATGAGTCTTAGATAATAACTTTGTTTTTATAAAAACACAGTCTAAAAGCCTTACTTAACTTTTTTTTTTACACCCTGAACAGGGTATATTAAGTTTGTCACAAAGTTTGTAACACCCAGAAGGAAGGGTCGGATACCCTATAAAGTATATATGTAAATGATCAGTATGTCGAGTTAAGTCGATTTAGCGATGTCCGTCTGTCTGGTCGTCTGTCTGTCTGTATATACATATACGAATTAGTCCCTCAGTTTTTAAGATATCGTTTTGAAATCTTATCAAATTGCAAACGTCATTTTCTCTACAAGAAGCTGCTCATTTGTCGGAACTGCCGATATCGGACCACTATAACATATAGCTGTCATACAAACTGAACGATCGAAATCAAGTTCTTGTATGGAAAACTTTCACATTTGACGTGGTATCTTCACGAAATTTGGCATGGATTACTGCTTAAGGTAACAATATAATTTCCAAAAAAATTGTTCAGAACGAATTATATAGTAATAACATATAGCTTCCATACAAACTGAACACAAAGTTACTAACAGAAATGCACCTGTGAAGGGTATTTAGCTTCGGTGCAACCAAAGTTAACGTTTTTTCTTGTTTTATTTTGAAGAAAGCGAATGGTTGCTTAGTGAAATATGTATGTATGTATACATGTATAAACGTTGGTCACTTTATTCCTTCTTGTTGTTGCAGCGACAGAAAAATATGGTTGATAGACATACATATGAATGCATGTATAAAGGTTTCATCCGAGCGGTCCGCTTTTGCTCAAGGGCATACAAAAAAAAAACATATATACATACATATATTTACATAAACTTATGCAGCTTCGATGTTTTATGTACATACATATGAAGCATGTAGTCATTTTGGAATACGGGCACACATTTGCTTTATTCTATTTCTATATGCATATATATATATTACATACATACATATGATGTGATGGCACCAGCTTTTTCATATGTTCGTGTTCGACTTTACGGCGAGCCATCTGTTGCTGTTTACTTTACTTCTTTGTCGAATTCCTGTTAGTGACGAAACCGACTGCCGTGGTAATCATTCTTGCTTGCTTTAGGTTTGGTTGTTAAGTCGATTCTATGCTATGTATTTTTATACGAACGTTCAAACATACAAATACTTAAATGCATCACAAACCAGAAATACAATATATGAGAAAATGCTTATTGTTTATGTATGGGTGTTTTTGAATATACATATGCATGAATGCAGAGCTTTTCTATAAATTGTAATTGTTAAATATAATTAAAACCACTGTAATACCATTGTCATTTCATTTACAAATTTAAACTCAACGGTTATTGTGTATGCACGTAGTACGATTGGTCAGATATTTTTTCTTTTGAAAATTCATTTGCTTTTTAAATAATAAGTGACCTACATGATAATGATGTTCGATTTTTCTGTTGAAAATTGAAGTAGAAATATCCACACGCATTCTTTTTAAAATAAAAGCATTTTTGTAAGCATTGAGGTTGTCTTTGAATTTATAAATCGTACGAACATACATATGTACATACATATCTAAAAATATTTATGTTCATACTTGTATAAGTACGTATATCTAAAAGTATTTATGTATGTAAAGGTTTCCACTATCATACAAATGCATTTGCACATCTAAATACATGCAAACGAACCATCCAAGTTGCTATGGTGGCTTAGGTGTATTGGTGTCCAATGTGAAGGTTTGGCTTTCGCTTCTTGCTGTCGTTGGAAGTATCGGTTGGAAGTAGGGGTAGATGCGGCTACTGGTTGCGGCAACATAAACCAGTATTTTGTCTATGTTTGCTTTATATCATTTATACTCACCTTAAATGTATATATGTATCTATGTGCATCTATATATGTATATACATATGTATGTATGCATGCATTTGTGAATAAATATGCCGACTTGTGCATTTTCTTCATACCCTTTGACTAAATATTCGTAGATACGTATATTTTTATTTTTCATTCAGTACAACGTTTTGTTTGATTCCATTTGGAATATTCCCGTGTTTATTCGTTCGCATTTACGTGCTGATCCGTTTGGTGTTGTGATAATGGCTTCTGAAACGAAGGCTACTCAGCTCTACATTACTTCGGCTCATTTGCTCGTTATTTTCTCTTATGTTCTTAAGCCGGTGTAGTATTTTAACCGATGCCATTTTATTGAATATGACACGCATACATGCCATAAAATTCTTTGTATTACTCACGTTTCAAAACTCAACTACCTGTTGCCGATTCGGATAAGCTGCGCATGTGCACTTTAATACTTTCGAAATGGCATAAAAAGTAAACAATTAACATCATTTTCACATTTGATACCTTTTTAATATAAACTATTCTTCTTATTTCCTATATATCATTTCGGAAACGACGTATTTAATAGAAACACATAATGCTATAACTTTTACTGAGATGTCTTTTACACAGGACAATAAACGTGCATACTAGTACTACTACGAGCCGTTTTTTGATTATCCTAATTAATTTATCTATAATGTATATTAACATTATTTTTCATAGGTTAGTTACTCTTATATTACTTCACGGCTGAGATAGGACATTCCGTATATTTTGATTAGCGACCTTTTCTTAGTGTGGTCCATATGCAATGCCAACCCCCATAGATTTTTAAAGATACAATTTCAGGGAGTGAGCGACGACTGTTACACAATTGAAGTTTCACCTAATTGAATATGTTGGTATTACTTTCACACGTCCATACAATATATGTGTACGTTCGCATATACATACATAAATACCACTATTAAAAGTTGATCTGAGCATTTGTACTCAAAATTTGTTTTATTTCTAGTTTTTCATCTTTTGTTCTCAATACTTTTTTTTTCATTTCCGCCAGCAGCTGCATTCGGAAGTATGTAAGCAGAATTCGGCGTCCAGTTGAAACGCTAAATTTGCAGTTCAGTGTGCAACAATAAAACAGCTGCACATCGTGAATATAATAGAACGTATCCCAGGTACAGGGTGGATACAGTAATATTTAGATACTTAAAAAAATTGTCAAGCTACTTTTTTATGGATTGTACACACTTATATGCACATGATTATTATTTAGAACATATGTATTTTGTAAAAATTTGGACGAGGAATACATTGCATGCCGGAAAAGACAGTGATCAGATGAAATGTCCATATCAAAAATCGTCTGAATTTGCAAAAGCTCTTTTCAGATTGTGCTACTTATGTGTCCGAGCTGCCAAGCCGTCTATTTATACTCTCGCAACAAAGTTTCTAAAGAGAGTATTATAGTTTTGTTCACATAACGGTTGTTTGTAAGTCCTTAAACTAAAAGAGTCAGATATAGGGTTATAAGTACATATATACCAAAGTGATCAGGGTGACG